GAATTCAGATTATTTCGGCTTCGCTGGTTAGGACACGTATTACGCATGTCCAGCCATCGTCTGCCGCACTGCGCCTTATTCGCAGTTACGGCTCCAGGTTGAAAGAAACCGCGTGGTGGTCAACACATGACGTGGAAGCGAGGGATGAAGAAATGCACAGAGCGATTAGGTAGAATCGGTGTCTCCCGTCTTCCACGTTGGGATCCGCAAGACTCTACAACTGGTTGACTGGAGACATCAAAAGATATGGCGATTGACCGACAGCAGTGGCACTCTTGTTGTCATTTCTTAACAAGGCAGAATGCTTGAAAAAGGTATTCATGAACACTTAGATTGTGTACTCTGTGCATTGAACAAAGAGGTTATTTTCCTTTGCCTCCCTCCAAGTAGGCCCAATCCCTCTCCATCTTATGCTTTATCATTTGATTTGTGTACATTGTGAGCTTGGCAGCGATCAGTGAAGCTCGCTTCACCGTATCTTGCTGTACGATGATGACGATGATGATGACGACGACGATGATAGTCACATTCACGAAGCGGTCACCAAAAGGAATGTACAAAGATAACAGTATTTAAGAGATAGGAATCTCCAAACACCGGCTCGGTAACGAAAACGGGTATCGGTCATTGCAGAGGTTGGCCCAGTTTCACGGTTTAGAGATATCAAGGCGGGAAGATGAGCACAGAGGGCTAGCAAGATGTACGGTCAAATTAGATTGCCAAGGAAACACGAAACAACACGATACCAAGGTAGAGCGTATTAGGGGATAAACAAACCGTCATCGAGAATCCAGGCCATACTATGTGCATATTTTGGATCAAACCAAAAGTCGATGAATGTTTTGGTGGGATAACTGGTGAATTACTGTACGTCGTAAAGACAAAAAGGTCATAGATGGTGTAGATCATGTTGATCTGGAAGGCACGTCAAAAGGGGCAACTGAGCACGTGAAACATCGAATACCCGTTACACTCTTTTGAATGTGTCGGTTGAACCTCCGGACAGCAACTTTTCTTGCCGTTCATTATTCAGCTGAAATACTTCACTTTGTCAGCAATCCGATTAACGATTAAAGTAGGTCAGATATACGAGTGCCGTCGTCATCTTCCAGCTTCAACCCTTTGTTTCTTTTGTCGTATTTTGTTTAACATTAACCATTCTTCCTAGAGCACCTGGTTGTAGGTTTGTCGTGCATCACTTAAGCGCGAATTGACATTTTCTTAGTGGTATTGTCCTTTTGTGCGCCTGTTTACTTTTATACAGAGCGCTGGTATTGCCGCTGCGGATATTAAAAAATTACGCGAGGCTGGATTTCACACGGTTGAAAGTATCCAGTTTGTGCCCAAAAAGACACTACTCGCCATCAAGGGGATAAGCGAAGTCAAAGCCGATAAAATCACGGTAAATATTCGCTTTTGTTACTATGAGTCATGTCATAATGTTTAGGAAGCCGCGCAGAAGTTGGTTCCCTTTGGTTTTACAACTGCAACTGAATTTCATCAGAAACGATCGGAGATCATCCAACTGACCACCGGATCCAAAGAGTTGGACAAGTTACTGCAAGGTATGTTGTTTTTTGGTCTTCGACCAAAGAATAGGATATTTTGCTTTCTCATCTATCGTATTGAATGACCCTAGAGATTTTGGCGCATGTGCTGTTATGCATTATCAAAGTATGAATCTTTGTGTTACACCCGTCTTCGCACAGATATCTTTGCAGACTGTCTGCCGAGGAAAGCGGCAGCTGGAACAATGCCCAATATAGTCAAGGTAAAATGTGACATGGCAGTATGATAATTTCAGTTTAGGAACTCGCTCTTATAGATCTCATTAGGTTTTCTGGCTGAGAACTTCATGATCGACCTTATTAATCGTTATGTACACTAAATTATGAAATAATGCTCTTGCATCTGCTCACTTCTTAGGTACAACTGGTCTACTTACCGTCTATCTTTGTATTTTGATAGTGCTCTGAACCTTTTTAACATCTATTCACGCCTTCCTCATGAGTTTACAAAATATGCAGCCGAAAGACAACAAACAAAGCAGTCGCGCGATAGTGTAGGGTTAGTGGTCGGGTACTGCCTTCACTGTAACGGTACCTTCTCCTGTTAGAGGATAAATCGGCTGTATGGATATCACGATTGTTGCCGACTAGGAGTGGCCCTTTGAAATTAACTCAGCACAAATCGTAGCCCAGGTGTTCTACGTAGCTGTGATGGTAGGTAGCTTTGCGGTCGTCCGATTCGGTACTACATCTGAGCTAGCGGGGCCTTATGTGGATCGCCACTCTAAGCCCCTGGCCCTAGGTTGCCGGTTACCATCACTGAACGGCAGGTCTTCGTGACTATGGTTCCCACCCCGACTACTGTTCATCACACACTAGTGTGTAATAAAAAATTGCCGGACCCGGTACACTAAGCAGAGACATAGGACCTCTACGTCTTTCTCGTTGGTGCTGGTCCATATTTTGAACTGTTCAAAGGCGGCAACGTCAACCGTGACATAGATCAGCATTGTTTGGTTATTTCTGTCTTGGGTCGCCTGTGGACATGGTTGAACAATTGCAGCCGACTACTTCTTTGGTGGATGTATAGTTCACTAATGCTCTAACATCCTCTCATTCACTGGATGCTGTTGCTCCATTTAATTTTGACTAGTTGTCGGATACTTCTGATATGGCATCCTCGACTCAGACCGGGTTTTGTACATGTAGGTAAATAGGATACGGGGTGAATGGCCTCACGAACTTTAACGCAAAGACTGATTTCACTGCGAGTTCATAGTGTCGGCCGTAGCTTCAGCGAAGCTTTTTCGTCAATCTTCGCTTTTCCATTCACCAATCAGACGGAGCCTAGTTTTTGAACGATGGACAACTGCTTGACTGACGGCAAAATTCTGGTGAAAAACGCCTTAATTTCTAATGAATTCATCTCAAACCCGATGAACTTCGCGACGAAATCGATTCGGTCGAGAGCTTACGAGTACACCACGATCGACTTTCTTGTTTAGAGCGAGTGCTACACCAAGGAGAGTGTTGTTTGTCGGGTCATTGTGGCAGAACCGGTAAACCGTGGTTGTCCCTAGCAGTTTTATGCGTCTATTTGACCGCATATAGAGTCCACCATTCGCACTTGCAATCCGTGGTCGCAGTGTGATTGTCAGATGCGTTATTTCCAAAAATGAAACCCACGAAGTTTGTAAAGGGATAACAGTCCCGTACCTATAGGTGTTAATTACAATCAATATATTTAGTACGCCCGAATTCGAGGAGACTTTCTTAGGATTTAAATAAAAAACTTCAGTATCTAAGCCATCGAAATCGTCCTTTGCCAATGTTGTCATCCGGTGTTTACAGCTTTGCTGTCACCCGGTTCAATACCACGTCTAACCTATCGGGGTCTTATGTGGTTCGTCACTTCAAGCTTTAGGTCACCGATTTCCATCACTGAACAGGAGGTCCTAGTGACTATGAGGTTTACCCCGTCTGCTGTTCATCACACACTGGTGTGCTATAAAAAAAGGTGTCATAAGTTGGTAAACGCTTCTTTCGCTTTGTTGTGATCGGATGTCCCCAACACCACTTCCAGCTGCGATCTAGCTCTCGAGGTACTTGGAACTCCCAACTCTTTCAAGCTGATCACCATTGAGAGTGAGTACAGGCACAGATTCCTGCCAGTCTTGAACAAGCACTTTGCACTTTGATGATGCAAAACACGTATCATACCTGAATACCTCGATCACCAAGCGGTTCAGAGCATATTGATTTGTCGGTAGTAATGACACCCAAGTGGCAAAGAGTTCCATTGGTGTCTTCTGACACCGCATGCATTTATGGTAGTAAAAGTTTCATTTTCTTCGTCCGTTGCTCTTCATTTTTACTCTTTTCGGGTATCCGTTTGTACGGAACAGCTGGGATAGATATGATCGTTCTTGATATCGGAGTTCTCTAGTGCTACAATATGCGTCGGCACGATGGGACAAAGTGCACGCACTGCTTCTCACATGACAGGATAATTGCTATCGTAGTTCAGTAACTGATAGGTCGTTGTCGGTTTCCTGTACAAAAAGATTTCTGTTTCTGTTTGGTGATGAGGATGTCCACGGAAGGGAACTCAAGCAGCTTTCCTCCACTTGTGTGAATATTATCCTTGGCATAACTCTATTTAGGTGAACATGGACTTATTCAGTTCTTGCTGCTGGTAGCACCACAAAAATTTAGTTTTCATATCGGATTAAGAGACGAGAACGGTTATTCAAATTGTTTCATCGCCGTGTCTGTTAGCAGGCCGAAGATCGTTGATCCCATTGAAGTACCTTGTTCTTGTCGATATACTTATTAGTCAAACTGCAGATCTGTTTTCATGCAGAATTCTTCAAGCTCCATAATTTCAGTCACTGATCTGTTATCCTTCTTGGAAAAGGGTGTTGTTTCTTAGCATGTATTGTATGCTGTCCAGAGCTACTTTCATCTTTGTTTTTAAGCAGCGATGTAATTTCAAGGAACACTATTTCGTTTAGTTCCAGCGTTAGTCCTTATAATAGATACAGGAATATAGCAGAGCGTTTGATGTTGCAATCCTCTGGGTTGGATGAACGTAATAAGTGGAGGAGGTATTTCACCAGTTAGTTGTTCGGGGCGTGGTGTCGAAGGACGATATAAGTTTTATGTACATTGGTAGTTTGTCTGTCTGTGGGATGAGGTCCTCTGCAGGTTCGACAGTTTTGTATTGATGTTTCTCTTGGCTTTGCTGAGCATTTCAGCCAGTCAACTCAAATGAATGTGGAGATGATGATTTTTCTTTCGTCCATTTGGTGTACAACCATAGCAAAATCATTGTTTAGAAAAGGAGACGCGATCACCTAAAGGTTGCCAAAAAGCAGGTACACTGTAGCAACGGTGGTGGGTTAAGAACACAAACAGTGAGATGTCTGTGGTCTAAGCCACTCGCTCACCGCGATTACCTTCCTGTTCGAAACCAATGTAAATGGGAAATTTTAAATATCTATGCTCATGGAAATTTCGCAAAAAATTATCATCTACTAACCTATTTGTCAGTAAGCAAATAATTACTACGAATTTTGAAGTATTTGTCGGGGACACCATTGGTGTACGACAGTATGACCACGAACACGCTGCCATGCTTCACGGGTATTGAGCCTTATGTAACATTGTACCGTAAACGCGTATCTAGTAATCATCATCATCGAAGAGCGAAATACAGTGAGGCGAACTCCACTGATCGCTGCCAAACTCGCAATGCATACAAGGTTAGTGGTTGAATTTAAGGTGGACAGGGATTGCACCTGTTTTGTGGGAGGGGGAAGGTGAACCTCTATGGTCAACACAGTACGCAATCGAACTCTGCATACATACCGTTTCAAGCATTCTGACCTGACAAGAAACGACAACAAGAACACCACTGTTGTCGGTTCGATGCCATATCCTTCAATATCTCCAACCAACCAGTTGTGGAGTCTTTCGGGCCCAAACCTAGAAGGCGAGAGACACCTACTCTACCTAATGTCGCTGTGAATTTCTTCATGTCTCGTCTCCACGTCATATGTTGACCTCCACGCGGTTTTCTCCAGCCCGGATTAGCGCGGTGCGACAGACGATGGCTGGGCATACGCAACACGTGCCCAAGCCAGCGAAGCCTAGTAATCTGAATTCGGTGTGCCAGCAGGTTTATACCTGATAGACTCCCNGGCGTGTGAAAATATATATTCATGTAATGCGCTTCATCATCATCATCGAAGAGCGAAATACAGTGAGGCGAACTCCACTGATCGCTGCCAAACTCGCAATGCATACAAGGTTAGTGGTTGAATTTAAGGTGGACAGGGATTGCACCTGTTTTGTGGGAGGGGGAAGGTGAACCTCTATGGTCAACACAGTACGCAATCGAACTCTGCATACATACCGTTTCAAGCATTCTGACCTGACAAGAAACGACAACAAGAACACCACTGTTGTCGGTTCGATGTCATATCCTTCAATATCTCCAACCAACCAGTTGTGGAGTCTTTCGGGCCCAAACCTAGAAGGCGAGAGACACCTACTCTACCTAATGTCGCTGTGAATTTCTTCATGTCTCGTCTCCACGTCATATGTTGACCTCCACGCGGTTTTCTCCAGCCCGGATTAGCGCGGTGCGACAGACGATGGCTGGGCATACGCAACACGTGCCCAAGCCAGCGAAGCCTAGTAATCTGAATTCGGTGTGCCAGCAGGTTTATACCTGATAGACTCCCGAACACACGACGGGTTAACTCCACGTTACTAACCCGTTCGCTTCATCCAATGTGGGCTAGACTGCGTAAACACCGATAATAGAAAACTTCTAGTCGACGGATATCTTCTACTCGCAAATTCAGGGTCTCACAACCATAAAGCAGGACTGAACGAACGCTAGCACAATATACACGACCTTTCAACTTCAGCGAAACGTCGCGTCTACGCCAAAGGTGTTTCAGTCCTGCGTATGCTGCTCGAGCCTTGGAAACGCGGGCGGTTATCTCCTTTGCTGCACTACCGTCATTGGTCACGTAACTACCTAAGTAGGAAAAGTAATCCACCATAACTAAATCCTGGCCACTTAGTGTCAGAGTGGGACACAGATGAACATGGT